GAGGGAGGGAAGGAAGGAAGGAAGGAAGGAAGGAGGGAGGGAGGGAAGGAAGGAGAGACATGGAAGGTGAGAAGGAAGGAAGGAATGAGGGAGGGAAGGGAGAAAGGGAGGAAGGAAGGAGAGAGACAGGGAAGGTGAGAAAGAAGGAAGGAAGGAAAGGGAGGGAGGGAGGAAAGGAAGGAAGGAAGGAAGGAAGGAAGGAAGGAAAGAAGGAAGGTCAGGAGATTGTAGGGAACTCATTAGAGATTTCTCCTCTCATCAGTTTTGGCTTGACTCGTAACTGAGGTTTTAGCAACCTGGCTAGGCCCTTGCTTGAGACGGGTGTGTGTGTGTGTGTGTGTGTGTGTGGAAGAGGGCGGGAGGGCTTCCAAGCAGAGAAATCCTGTTTCCATTGCTTGTTTTTTTTCTTTTCTTTTTTCTTTCCTTTTCCTCAGAGACTGGAATAAAAGATAACATCTATAGGAAACCCCCCATCTACCGACAGCATGGTACAGTCTGCTTTGCTCAGCGGCCCTTCCCCCTCCTTGGCACACTCCCACTTCCCACACACACACACACGCACACGCACACACTCCCGGGCATGTGGGTCGCTGCCTTGTCCTCCTGCAGTCAGTCCTGGGTCCTGGCCATTGGGTCATTTTCTCTCTATACACACACACACACACATACAAACCGCCCCTCTGGAGTTTTGCTGGCCAGCCACCGGTGGGCTGCCTGGATCTGGCTGTCCTGCTTTCCAGGGCGGGGTCTCCAGATCACGCAGGGCCCCTCAGTCCGAGCAGCCTCTGGCTTCTGGGGCACCTGAAGGGCTCCTGCCTGGCTTGGGGGGGGTCTGCTTCGTCCAGAGGGAAGGCTTGGCTCTGCAGCCCTGCTTTTCTCCAGCCCCCCCAGGTGGCCTGGCGCTTCCATGAGCCCTCGCAGCCCCTGGGCTAGTTGCGTGGTGCCTCAGCTGCAGCGCAGGTCTCCTTCCTGCCTTCCTGCCGGCCCCTTATCCGTCCTTTCTGGTGAAAGGGGAGTCCTTGCAGGAGGCAGCTGGTCTCCTTTAACAGCCTGAGGGATGGCAGGACAGGGTCAAAATGTCTTTTTCAAGACAACGTTGGCATCAATGTGTGTTCTGAAGAGGTGGCAATGTTCGTAGAGCTCACTTCTTCAGCAAGGGTTTGTAACTGCTCTGCAGCCTTCGGAGTGTGTCTGGGTGTCATTGTGTGCAGGGTGGATTGTACAGGCGAGGAAACATCTCATCAAGGGCGTTTGACTTGTGCAGGAGGGTGCATCCACCTTTTTAAATGGAAAGAAAAAAGTGAGCACCCCTGGACCTCGTGCTCGACACGGCAAAACCAAGAACGATTTCTCTGCAGAGAGTTGGACGGTTCCAGATGGTTCTCGGGCGACCTTGCTGGCTTGTGGTCATCCTCCTGTTTCAGTTTCTGGATGAGAATAGCCTTGAGCTCCCAGGACAGACAGTGCCTGTCGGGCTGGATTTGGCCACGTCACTTGAGACGAACGTGGTTTCTAGAGAACAAGCAGGCCACAACTGTTTTCTGCAGTACTTAAAGATCGACCAGACAAGCTTTTTAGGAACTCTTGTTAGCTATTTTTTGACATTTTATTGTCACTCAGGTTTTCTGTCTGGATCTCAGAAAATCAGGCATGAGGTTTCCAGTCTGGGCAGATTAGAGTGACTAGGAAGTGTGGCTGTTTGGAAATTGCCACTGGCCGGGTGACCTGAACACCCAGTGACAGTGAGGGGTTTCTGTGGACTCTCCTACGTCTCTCCCTCCTGGAGGGGGGCAAATTGACAGGTCCAGTTCTGTCTCTGGGCCCTCGTCCGACCCGCGGGGCCTCCGGACAGGGCAGGCAGGCTGTTTTAGCCTAGATTTAATGGTGCAGCTGGAGGGAGCGCCATCACTCTACCAAGCCTCCAGCCCCACACTCTTCGTGATCCCATCTCGTTGCAAAGGGCTCCTCTTCAGTGGGTGGTAAACAGCCCCCAGGAGCAAGAGCCAACTGGGTCCCTACAAAACTCAGCCCCCCCCAAACGTGCCACCGTGGCAGGTTCTGTGCAGTGAGGCTGAGCGATGGGGTCAAATGGGCTCCTCGGCTCTCCCTCCGGCACCAGGCCAGGCGTGATGGCAGTGGAGAGCACGGTGGGCCTGACCTGTGGGGAGGGAGAGCGCCAGGTCTGCAGTTGCAGGGACCTCCGTCCGTTGCTGGAGAACGGAGGGTGGAGGGGACAGCGGCTCCGGTTCTGTCACTTGGGTTGGCTGAAGGGGAAGAAGAGGGACGTCGGGGGCTGGGAGGAGGGTGAAATGAGCCTGTCTGCGGCTGACGCCATCCCCACATTTCTCCTTTGGGCCGACTCCAGATCCGGTGCCTCCCCGACAGGGAACCAGCCCACCCCCACCCCCTTTGTCTCGGCAGGGATTCCACCAGCTTCCCTCCTCCTCCGGGACCCCTTCCCACCTTTTCCCCACCTCCCATCTGTTGGGGCAGAGAGAGAGAAAGAGAGAGATTTAAAGTCAGGCCTTTTTCTCTTACCTGGGACATTTTTCTGTGGTCTAGCCTCAAGAATATCCGATGGCGATGGGAGCTCCGATCAAGACAGCAAGAAGGTAAAATTTCAGCAGCATCCAGGGAGGATTTCCAGTGGCACAAGAGCCCTGTTTTGCGGTCCAGCACTGCGTTAAAACAACGGTGCATGTGCTTAATTGTGGTTGTGTTCAAAACTTGAAAAAAAATAAACCAGCTTTCCAAACAACCCTTCCTCCTACCCTTCCTTCTTCACTGTTGTGATAAGTCTCAGTGATTTTTTTTAAAAAAAATCCCTTTGGGGTAAAAGCAATAGAAATTGATTGTCCCCTTGGTAGAAATCACTCTAAAGCTGGAAGAGAAATGCAGTTTTCTTGGTTCACGTACAGAGCCCCCCTCCCTCCCTCCCTCCCTCCCTCCTGACACGACCGAAACGTGGGAGGTTTCTAACGTGGGACATTGTTTCTCGCAGCTAAAGTCCAGCTGGCTGACTTTGAAAGGGGACGTGGATTTTAGGACTAACTCTCCCGATCTGGATACTCAGTCGCTGCCTCAAAGCCCTGGGACAGACCGGCAACTTCAGCGGCTGCACAGCAACACAAACTGCACCTTCCTACGTGAGTAGCCGGCTGCCGGCCCTTCCGGGTGGTCCAGAGCAGGGAGCCCAAAGGGCACAGCTACGAACGAGCTCCTCTGGGACAGAATAGAATAGAGCTGGAAGGGGCCTTGGAGGTCTTCTAGTCCAGCCCCCCCCCGCTCTCCCCTGAAAGAGAAGCCATCTCAGGAAGGACTCTTCCCTCTTCCCTACAGGATTCCCCTATTCCAAATCGGCTTCTCTTCCCGACTACGGAAAGCACGGATTACAGCAGCAGCAGCAGCAGCAGCAGCAGCACGTAGGTGGAGGACGTGAGAACACCGCACCGGGGCCGGGTGGACGATTGACCGAGGGCCGGCCCTTCACCATGGCCCCTTTTTTCTTGCACGGCCCATCCAGGGGTCTCCTCTCGGCTGCCATCATTGTTGGGGGTCTCTGGCCCCTTCCCCGAAACTCCCCCAATCCTCTCCCCCCCACCCCCCCACCCCAGGTTTTCAGCAGCATTTTGAGAGCCTGCAAGCTCCGCTTTGCTTTGGGCCTCCTCCCGATCTCCTGACTGGGAGAGACGGACACGGGGTCTCCTGGAAAAACCTCTTGGCCCACGCCGCCCCCCCTCCTTCCCCCCCCCAGGATGGCGGAGTTGGGGGGA